ATTTGGCAGAACTACCTGTAAGCTACCTGGGCATGAACTTTTCTATATGTGAGGGTTTCTTATCACTGGTTCAATTTGTTTAACGATCATATAACTATTCAGATTTTCTATTTTTTCTAGAGTCAGTTTTGATTATTTCAGGTAAGGTGCAAATTTCTAGGAATTTATACTGATAAATTTTAAAATTTAGATGAAATGTACAAAGTTGTTTGCAGTCTCCTTTTGTTATCTGTGTAATATGTAGAGGATCTATAGTGATAGTCCTTCTTTCATTCCTGACATTATTTGTGCCTTTTGTTCTTTCTTGATTAGCCTTGCCAGAGATTGGCAGATTTTTTTCAGTCCTTTCAAATAACTGACACCTACAGCCACATATGAGAGATCCAGTTGCTTCTTTCATTCCTGACATTATTTGTGCCTTTTGTTCTTTCTTGATTAGCCTTGCCAGAGATTGGCAGATTTTTTTCAGTCCTTTCAAATAACTGACACCTACAGCCACATATGAGAGATCCAGTTGCTTCACATCCTCCCTAACACAGTATTTTCAGTGTCTTTAATTTAGACTCTTTAATTTCTGTTGGATGTGTGCAGCTATCTCATTTTGGTTTTAGTTTAGTTTATCATCAGGGAAATGATGTTGAGTATCTTTTTATATGCTCATTGCGCACTTGGATGTCTTCTTTTGTGAAATGACTAAAAATTTTTGCCGTTTTTTTAATTGGCTTTAAAAAAATTGATTTGTAGGAGTTCTGTATCTCAAATGTGCGTGTTTTGTCAGATTTATATGTTGCAAATATCTTCTCCCAGGCAGGGGACTATTCTTCATTCTCTTAATGTTATCTGTTAATACACAGAAGTTCTTAATTTTAATAAAGTCCAGTTTATCAATTTTCTTTCTTTTATGGCTAGTGATTTTGGTGTCCAATTTAAGAAACCTTTCCCTACTCCAAAGTAATGAAGAAATTTTCATATTTTCTTTTAGATACTTTGTTGTATTGCCTTTTGTATTTAGATCTACGATGCATCTGGAAATAATTTTTGTGTATTGTGTGCAGTAGGAGTCGAGATTCATCCTTCATTTAGCGAAGGTCTGCAGATAGCAAACTCCATTTTAGTTTGTAAATCTAAATTTTATCTCATTTAAAAAATGTTTTTGAAGGGTGTAGAATTCTAGGTTGAGAAGTGTTCTTTTGGCACATTGATGTTGTTATTCCACTGTCTTCTGGCCTCAGTTATTTCTGTTGTGAAGTGAGCTATCAGCTTAACAGTTGATACTCTTTGAAAGTAATCAACTCTCTTTTCCCTGGCTGTCTTTAAGATCTCTTTATCTCTGTTCTCTATCACCGTGATAGGTGTCTGTGCAGATTTCTTTTATTTTGGTGCTGCTTGAGAATCTTTGGGCTCTGTGGATTGTTGTCTTTTATCAATTCTGAAAGATTCTCAGCTGTCAGAGTTTCATTGTTTCTGCTTCATTCTCTCTCTTTCCTTCTATAACTCTCATAACAAGTTAAACCTGTTGTTGTTTCCTCCACGTCTCTTAACCTGTTTCACCTTTTCCAATCTTTGTCTCTCTGTGTTGCATTCTGGTAATTTCTTCAGAATTTTGACCAAACGGATTTGGGAAAGAACCAAATAGAGCATCTAGAAATGCAAATGAATTTTAAAATCCAGCAGATGTCTTTATCAGAAGATGAGACATAGGTAAGGAGAGTTTTTTAAAACTGTAATATAGGTCAGAAGGTTTGCTTCTGGGTAACTTAGGGGCAGTACCAATTCAGGGCCATGAAGTCCTCAGCTTAAGTTTTTTTGACCAGTGTGATTTGTGCTGCAAGACTTGGTGAAACTCACTGACTTGTGGTTGCAAATTATCAGGGGTACATTTTTTCCACCTGCAGTGCCAAGGTTCAAAACCGGCAGTTTTCCTTAACCCCCTTGGTGGGGTTGGGGACAGAGCATTTTATTTCAAGTTAACTGTTATGCAGAGGGGTGGTTCTTTGGGATGCTGGCTTTATGGGTTAGGATCTCCTATTTGACCTCTCTTCTTGAGCAGGCCCTGAACTTTCTTCTCTATCTGTCTTGGTTGTGGCCGTGAAAATGGAAGCTCAAGGTCCCTGCCCTCAGGGCAAAAGCTGGCTTCAGACCGTCCCTGACTCTGTGGGTTCCTGCCTTCACTTGGGTTTTTAAATTTTGCATAACTTTTTCAATTGATTTCAGCAGGCAGGCACTCATTCTTTCATGCTGCCAGAAATGGACAGGTGCCTAACTTACTTTCCTATATTCTTGATGGCATTGTTTCCTCAGCATTGTTGCTGAAGACGCATACCTGTGAGTCCTGGGTGTGTTGGGGGTGGGTATTTGTAGGGGGTTTTGGCAGCCCCTCACCTTCCTCACAGTATCATGACTTCGTTTATGAGAATAAAGATAGAAAAAAATGATCTAAAGTGACTAGCCTATAGGTGGATAGTAAGTTTTTCATTTAGAAAGTAGTTTTGAATCCCAAATTTGTGGGAATTTTCCCCCATATATGTTTACATGCTAGTTAAATTTAACACATGATTCTTTGGTAATGTTAGCATATATTTGTACTGACCAGGACTTCAGTTTTTCCTTTGAGACGGGCACTTATAATCCTTTGTTTCACTTTTCCCAGACGATTCCGCTCTCTGCAGAAGTGGCATTTAGTTTCATCAGGGTGCCACTGCAAGGACACGGCTAACGCTGCTTCTAATGACCCAGGTGCTGTGCTTTCTGCCATGTAACATTGCAACAGCCCCATGAGATAGAGTATTGTGATTCCATCTTAATCATGAGAAAATGGAGGCTTAAGAAGGTAAACAACTTGTCCAAGTGTACCTAGGTGGGAATTGGACACTAGGACTCTTATGCTTATCCTGTCTTGCCTCCCTGGGAACATGACATACATTTGACAAATAGGTGTAATAGGTGTATATTTCACAAATAATCTTGGTTTTGTCACAGAAGTCTCTATGACCTTAGTAGAGATCCTTAGCTTACCTCCCTGTCACTTCTGCTGCTCTAACATAGATTTGTTCCTGAAACAAATGTGTGTGAAGAGAAAGGTAGCATTCAGTCATCATATGGTGCTCTTAGCAACGGCACACCATGCTGGTCGCTGGCCACACAGCTACACAAGTGGCTCCTACACACAAAGAGCCGAGACTTCAGTGCATGAGACAGGCCAGCAGTGTGATGTGGAAGGAGGGGCAGGGCTGAGAGGAGCACAGAGCATCACTCACCAGGAAGATATTAGGAGGCTCAAGGAATGAGTGTGTGAGAATGGGATCAGACACATATTAAAGGAGGTACACAGAGCGTGGCGTGTGAGTTTAGTACGCCTGAGAAGTAGAGTGCATCTGGGAGGGGAAGGCTGTGAGGGTAGGCAGGCGCCAACTCCTGCAGAACCTCACCTGCCAGGAGAGCTTCTCAAACTTACCTGGGCTCCCACGTGTTTCCCATTCAGCAGGTCTGCAGTGGGGCCCTGAGAGCGTACATTTCAAACAAGTTCCCAGTGCTGCTGCTGCTGCCACCGCTGCTGATCTAGGTCCCATACCTTGAGAAGCACTGCACTGGAGGGACTATCCCCTGGGTGAAGGAGAGTGCCACAGCTAGCCAAGCAAGCCCGCCTCCTGCTCCCAGTTCAAGCTCTGTGTCCAAGGCATAGACCACATAATGTGGTGCCCCTTCTTCAGATGAGGTAGGGAGAAACTTCCAAAATTAACTTGACCAGGAAATTAAGGATGCCATTGAATTTAAAGACCAGATGCTGTCATTTACGCAAAACTCACACACCCTCACAGGTGTCCTCATTTGCTCCACAAACACCTGAGCACCTATTGTGTGTCTTCCACCCCATGAGGCCCTGGAGAAGCAGCAGGTGACAAGGCCCTGCAGGGCCAGCCTTCTGTCCAGTACAGTGGCCACTAGCTATTTAAACTTATATCCTCAGTCACACTGGCCACATGTCAGTGCTCAGTACCTATATGTAACTAGCAGCTACCATACTGGACACTGCAGATACAGAACATTCCATCACTGCAGAAAGTTTTCTGTTGGACAGTGCTGATCTAGTAGGCATGACAGACACTGAACACATTAAAATGGGCTGAGTTAGCTCTGAAAGAGCAGTGTAAGGTTCAGTGAGCTGTAGCAAGTGAACCTCATCCGGCCTGGGCATTGTTGACAGGGTGGTGGTGAGACAGACCGGAGAGAAGCAGGTGGGAGTTTGCCTTCCATTCTAGTGTCTCAGTTCTTTTTTCCTTCAATTCCACAAGCTGTCATGTGCCCCGCAACAAATCTCTTTTCTTTAGTGCTCTTGCGTGTGACTTGTTACAACAGGAGCCCCATCTAGAACTGCATTCTGCAAACTGCTCTGCAGAAAGATGTCAGCAGGTGCTCCCCAATCTCCCCCGCCCCAGGAGAGACCCACAGTGCCCATGGATACTGCAGGTTCTGATTAGTCCTGCAGTGAAGGAACCCTTACAATCTTGTTTTTTAGGTTTCCCAAACTTACATGATCATGTAATACAAGCAGCTAGCAACATCGTCTTGGATCTTACTTTGAGGAAAGCAGGCCTAGAACACACCTCTTATACAACTTTCTCTTGTTTTGCATTATTTATTTCAAAAGCCCTTTGTCAGAATGTGTTATGTAGATGCGAGTTTCTTGCTCCTTGTTTGAAAGGCCGTGGTGGGCCCTGGCAATCTCCTCCTCCCTGGCCCAGGCAGCCCCACGCCTCCTGCCAGCAGCAGAGCCGTCCAGCCTCGCTGGCTGCGCATAGAGAACAGGCACTCGAGGGGAGCAGCATGTTCTTTTATTGATGTAGGTACATCCAGTCACACCAACAAGTGACATCCTGCATTATGATACAGCTTTATACTCGAGTTCATCTTCAAATACCGTTCATCTTCAAATACCGAAACATCATAGGGTACGTATCAAATTGGGAAAATAAAGTAGCAAATGTAGACACTGTGTGCTAGAACTGATGACCCAGTGAAGTGCACACTGATGTGAAAGCTCCTTAACACAAATGTGCAGAAAGTGTTCTAACATTGTATTCCAAATATATATTCTCAAGTTTTAAGCCTTTATCTCAAATACGTAAACAAAGCAATATGTACTATCAATATACAATATGTACTATCTAGAACGTCTGAAAAGTGCAAAAACACTGTGACAATACAGTGTAAATATTCTCGCTCCACCCAGGGCTGAGGGCAACTTCAGCGGCGGATCACGGAGCCACCTCCTTCCTGAGCCTCACCTCCACATCTGCAGGCTCCCCTAGGAGCTTTGGGAATTAGCAACTAACTGACCCGTCCTCACCTAGGCCTCCCAACTGGAGGCTCCTGTGGAAGCCAGGCATGCAGAGAGAGACAAGGTTGAGTAGATCTGCTTGTGCAGACCGAAAGCCCCACTATGAGGGAGGGAGAGTCAGCGTGGATTGCCCACCTCCGACTTTCGAGGGAGCAGGGCTGTCACCTCCCACAATCAGGAAGTCAGACAAAATAGAGTGTATTCCTCGAGTTGAGGCGTGGAAAATACCTCCACATGTTGGGCAGTTTTATGTGAGTGGGCTCCAGCAGTTACTGGCCTGGCTAATTTTCTGTGTTTCAGATTCCATAAGAGGAACCCCTCACCCAGAGGGAAGGAGGTGGCAGTCCACTAGAATACTGATTTCTGAGTTGTTTCTTTTCACTTTGTACTTGGGTTTCAAAAATGGCTTTAAATGTCCCCATCCTCAAGTCTGCTTTGTATTCTCTTCATTACAGCTAAGTGTGTCTTTCAGTTACAGCTTGGAAAAATGACAGTTCCACATCTCCCCCTTACATTATTTTAAATTTTCTCTTTTCCTAAAATGTAGTTGAAGAACCATTTGCCAGACCTATTCCAACAGAAAGTATGCTGCCAGGTGTCCCCCTGCCCCTCCCCAACCCCCTCAATCCCTGATAAAGGAAAATGAAAATGTAAACTTTGGAAAGGCCGCACTCAAGGTTCACTTCAGAAGTATGCAAATGAGACCTCCTGGCCACCCTGCCCTTCTTGCTGGAACCTCTCTGGCCTAGGCTTTGAGGGCAGGCACCTTGTGGGCCCAGGACAGAGCCTTCCCGGCGCCTCCCGGCAGTATGGGCTGGCCGCTGGCTAGAAGAATGGAGCGGGACCAGCCCTCCAGCACCCTCTAAGGCACTAACCCCGACATCAGAGACACTGGCTGGAAGGGCGTCCGAGCAGGCAGGGCTCACGTTGGTTTTGGTTGGGTTTTTTTAAAATATTTTTTTAAGATGTTAATAATCAAAAGTAGAAAATAAAAATCTACATTTCATTAGAATAAGATGTTATCATGGATGCCATCTCCCATGATACTCTTTTCCCACCCCTCCCCGAAGCAGGGCCCTGCCCTGTTATTTAAAATAAACAAAAAAAACTTTATAAGTGCCAAAGGTTGATGCATGAAATAATTACTTTTTTTTTTTTTCATAAAAGTTATATACAAAATGGACCCCAACCAGTGAGGCCTCCTCATCTCAACCCATATCAATCAAGATTAAAACTCGGTGCATGTGTGTGCTTCATCCAGCGTCTGCAGGATGCATCTGTGCCTTCAGGCTCTGTTAAGGAGAGTGGTCCTAAAGGACCACAGGAAATGGTCAAGTGGCTGGCAGGCCCTTTCCCTGAGCAGGCAGAGGGCAGGCCTGTGCTTTTATGGGAGGGCTTGGATGCCCAGACCAGAACCGGCCACCCAGGGGAGGAGTCAGGGACGTTCAACCCCCAATCCAACTGACTGGCAGCCTGCACCGGGAATGCCTTCCCCCACGTGGTCTGTGCGGAGGTGCCCTCACCGCCTTTGACGAGGGCAGATCATGCTTCCCCTGCCCTCAGTCCTTTCCCTTCCTTGAAGACTCAGGCATGGGGCTGGTCTTGGGGGCTCACAGGACTGTCCCTGGAGTTCTCCTACCTGAGGGTCTTCCAGCTGTCCTTTTCCATGTGGTTCTCCGGACCTTCGCTTTCAAAGGAGGCTATGAAGAGAGCTGAGAGATGGGAAGCCCCTCAGAACCCATGTCCACATGCAGTCAGTCTGCCTACTGCACCGGTTATCCCTTCTCAAACTATCCCTTCTTGGGGTGCAGCTAGGCCCGGGAAGGAACTCCCAGACTAGGGGACAGTGACCTCTGGCCTGAGCTCGTCCACAGGTCTCTGCTGTATGGGGTTCCAGGCCCCATGCGGCCCGAAGCTCCCAGCTGCCTGTCTGGGGACTCTGAGAAGTTTCCTAGTTCTGCAGCACTGACCCCTGTTCTGGCTCTCTCAAATGGCCTCTGGAGCCTCATCTCTTCTTGTCCTTATTCTTCATCTGTCATCTGCCCACGACCCCACTCCCCCCCACCCCTCCCCATGCACTCCTACGAGCTGAGCTTCCCCTGTGTAGCATGGGGATAATGATCAGGCCTGCCTCCAAGGGCAGCCACAAGAGCTACACGGGCCCTGGACTCGGGGGCATCAGGGTGACGTGTACAGCGTGGGGAGGTGGGCACACTGCCGTGGAGAGGCAGCCCTCACCTTCTTCGCTGTAGATGGGTGCTGTGAGCAGGTAACTCTGAATCTTCTTGTCCTTCTCGAAGGGACACTCTACTTGTGTCCATGTCATGAACTCGTGGATCTGTCTGGAGATCTCCCAAAATTTCTGAAGGGGCAGAAGACCAACTGGATGTTCATTTATCACCTTAAGCTTGAACTTCTTGGTTAGGGCAGGGGACATAGAGTCTGGTTTCAGTCTGCTGCTCACTTCCCTGGTCTCAACGAGATGGGACAGGGGCCCTGCATAGCTGACTTCGTGGCCATGGAAGCACTTTGTGCAGCATCAGAACCAGCAGATGTCCCCAAGGCCACTCTGTCCTGCCCTCTGCCTGGGCCAAAAGGCTGCAGGACGGTCTGTGCCTCCCTTGTGCAGGGACCCCAAGAGGGCCCCATCGGCGACTCCAGGCTGAGGCAGGCGTCCCAGCCATGCCCAGCACAGCACCACCAACCAGAACACGTCATGATCTCACTCTGTGTAAGAATCTAACTCCCTCCCACCCCTCACCTATGTGAGGTGAACACTGGGCAGCCCAGCTCCCCCCACATCTCTGCAGTCACCTTTGTCCTACCCTCCCGGCCCTGGCCAGGTTCCCTCAGCTTCCATCCGGAATTCTGCTGCCTCTTCCTCTACGCCCATGTGCCTTCTTGCTTCAAACCTTCCTGACCCCCAAACCCCCGGAGGGGGGGGGGGGTCCCTTTTCTGTCTACCTGGTGGGGTTAGCACTGGGACAGGGCTCCCAGCCCTGTAACCAGATCACCCACCCAGAAGGGCTGAGGCTGCCCTCACCCCTCAGATGGCACCCATGACCCACCTGGAGCTTTCAGTTCTAAAGGCCCTTGTGCCACAGGGCCATGGCCTTGCAGCTTGCACGGATTCTGCCTGCCCTGAGGCGAGACCAGGAGGTCTGCCCGCCCTGTGCTAGGACAGCCTGGTCCTTCCCCTCAGACCACAAGGGGGCTGAGCTCACCTTGAAGTTGATATGCCCGTTGGGCAGGTGGTTGGTGTGGATTTTGTGCAGGAAGTAGATGTCCTTAACAAAAAGGTTGAACACAGGGATGACGATCTTCTCTCGGCTGCTGTTGGCCATCTGGGACCTCTGCGTGGCCCCCTGCAGGGCCGTGCGGTAGTTGCAGAAGTTGCTGGATGGGTCCATATGATGCTGTGGGCAGATGGTAGGATGTGGTGGGCTGCGCGCCCCCTGTGCCTCTCAGACCTGCTCAGGACGCCCCTTTGCAGAGCGGGAAACAGCTGATGGGGAAGGTACTTCCCCTCTGGGTGGTCCCAAACTGTCACCAGAAGAGGCCTCCTTTCCAGGAGTGAGCACAGGGAGGGAAGCCCAGAGGCGCCTGGCCAAGCACCAGGCCCAGGACCTTCCAGGCTTGGGTCTGAGCATCACGGGGAAAGCTGTAGAGAAGTCTCACAGCTCACACACCTCTTCTCTGCCCTGCCAAGCCTGGGTCTCACCTCCTTCATTTCGAAACCTTCCTTTGCCCCTCTGCTTAGACTGACACCTCCCAAACCTGACCACAAGACACAGTTGGGCAAAAAATGGATTCTATGATCAAATACATCTGAGCGTGAACATGCCTGTCAGTCCCTGGGCCACCCAGACAATCCAGCACCACGGGAAGTTGGGCCAGGAGAAGGCCAGTCTCTGCTTAGTCAGCATCACCCAACGGGAGGCTCATGGGCCCATTTAGTCGACTCTTTATTAACCCCTCCCCAGAACCTGCTCTAGGCGATGCTGGTTCTGACTGAAGTCCCAAGGCCCGAGGACATCTTAAGCTACCTGCCTCCTGAGGGTGGCCGGGCCAGCTCGACATAGCTGACACCAGACCACACTGTGGGCAGCGGGTCCTGAGCAAGGGGGCAGAGCGTGATGGGAGGCCCACCCTCCTCAGGCCAGTGCAGAACGAGGCTGAGGTACCTACCTCCAAGACGTCGAACTTGGCTGTCTTGACTTTGGACCACGTTTTCTTCAGCCTCGCCACAGGACTGAGGTTCATGCCAGCTGCAGAGGATGGCAGATAGGGTCAGGGCGGGGGAGGCAGGCCATGCAGAAACTGGATGGGAAGCCTCTGGGGCCCAGACACTCACAGATGATGGCCATCATGGAGTTGAAGTTCCCAATGTTGAAACACTCCCGGGCCACATCAATGAAGAACTCCAGCATGCGGGTCCGGTGCTTCTTCTTCACCACCTACAGGGCAGCCAGACCTGGCGTGAGCCCCACCAGGGGTTCCTCCCCCCCAGCACCAGTCCCTGAAGGGCAGCCTGGACAGGAGCTGCCCTGGGCCCACAGAGCTGTCAGACCCAGGGTGGGGGATGCTCACTGGCTGCAGAGACAGGAAATGCAGCTGTGGCATTTTCGATGCAGGGCAGAGAGGCAGGAGGGTGGGCTGAGAGGACCGAGGGAGCCCTGAACGAGCTCGTAGACCACGCTAGGCACAAGGTGCACTCCATGGATGGGTCTCTGTTGTAATTTAAGGCATCAATGTTGGACGTGCAGGTGGGGGGTTGGCCCTGGCAATGGAGACATCCTGTCTCCACTTTGAGAGTCATCTGAGGCATGCAGGAGTTGGAGCCTCGGGGAGCACAGTGGGGTCGAGGAGGAGACAGCATCCCCGGACCCATGTCTGCCATGCAGCGCTTACCCGGCACACCTCAGTGGCCACTAGCATGCTGAGGCAGTTGAACCAGTTGTCATAGGCCTCCAGGCTGTAGGTCTTGGTCAGGTCCCCTCGGCACTGGGGGAACACGGCAGATTACGGGGAGCCCAAGGACCCTGCCGGCAGGTGCTGTCCCAGCCCCAACCCCAGAACCAAGGAACAGGAGCTGTGGCCAGAGGAGGAGATGGAGTGGGGGCAGTGGGACAGACGCCCTTGGCTGGCCCAGGTCTCCCAGGATGCCTGCCCTCCTGGTCCCCCAGGGCTAGGCTTAGAGGCCAGGCTGGCTCCCCAGGCCCCTGGGAATGCTGGGCCCCCTCCAAGCATGCATCACCCTGCATGGCCATACCACTGACCCCCTGAAGCAGGAGCCAGGAGGCCAAACCCACGTCCATCAAGTTGTGGGCCCGACACTCTAGAGGTGCTCGGGCATGCTAGATGAGGCCCCCACCCACCCTGCATGGGGTGTAGGTGCCAGGCCCACCCTCAGGCCACCCAGAACAACCACAGCCCCTCACCCTGTGCTTGTCCCGAGAGTCCATGTGGCTGACGATCTGCATCAGGTCCTCAGGGTGAATACTGCCAACCCTCTCCTGGGGTGAAGTGGGGAGACAGCATAGGAGGGGTGACAAGCCTGCCACCCTCAGGCAGGCCCCACACTCGGGGTGTAGGGCATGTTCAGAGCAGCAGGCAGGACCTCCCTGCAGACATGCACCACAGCTGCTCCTTGATCAGAGCACCCATCCAGTGGGTATGACCTACCCAGGACCCCCCAAATGTACCCCAGGCGTCTGGAACACCCTCCCCTGGGAAGAGAGGGGATAGGGCTGTGTGAGAGTGAAGGGGAAGCCTCCAGGCAGTGGCTGCTATGTGCAGGGTACCTTCCCAGCCCAGGACACAGGCAGGATGAGGTGACAGGGCGGGGGAAGTGGCCTTCCCTCTTGAAGCCCTTCACCTCCTCCCAGGCTGGTCCTTCATCCTGGGACCACTGTGGTCCCCATTACCCCAGACCCTCCCATTAATACAGGACTGCCTTGATCCTGGGGACCGAGGCACCAGGCACAGAGAAACACATTGCTCAAGTAGACACACTCTGCCAGAGGCAGTGGTTGGAGCTGGCAAGTGGGCTTCACCTGACACCCCAGTCTGACTGGCAGGAGACGCCCCGCAGCACTACGTTGAGAAACATGCCCAGGGTCCAGTGGCCTGCAGCATCAGTGAACGCACCACCAGCCCTGTCCCGAGAAGGGCACACTGCAGCACTGACCAGCTCAATATGAGTCAGCTGCTGGGCCAGCACCAGGGGGTCGCAGCACACGCCCAGGATGTCCTTCTGAGCAGCTGGCGGCTTGGCCTTGAGGACAGGCCCTTTGTCCATGGCCGGTGAGCGGAGCTTCTCCCGCAGCTCCTGAAGCTGGCTCCGGGCAGCCAGGGACAGCAGCAGGCTCTGCGTCATTTGGGCGATGGCCTTCTTCACTGTGCCATTCTCCTGTGGGGGTCAGGGGGTGATGAAGGCACCTGCGTGGGCTGGCAGTAAGACCGCCACTTCTCTGGAGGGACCCATCTCATCTCCAGGGATGTGCCTAACTTTGAACCCACATCCCCTACCCAAACCTGCCATGGGTGCTTGGACCTTTGATGACACAGAGTGGGGTACAGTGTGGAGGGAAGGGAGCTGAGGGCCAGAGGTAGGCTTTTGGGTTTGAAAAGCGTGGCTTTCCCAGTAACAGCCAATTGAGGTACTTCTTGTGGCCTTCCCACCGTAGGATGAGAGCATCTGGAAGGGCTTCCTCTGAGACCAGGAGCCTTTGCCCCGGGGGCGGGCGGGGGGCCGTGGCACGCAGCCCTGGCCTCTCTCAAGCTCTCCCTGGGCTTTCTGAGCCCTCTGGGCACACAGAAGCAGCTGCTGAGCACACGGAGCACTTCCATTGTGGAGGCCCAGCCAGCTGAGGCTCCCTCAGCTCTCCAAGTTTCTTGTCTCCACTGAAGGCCAAGAGTGAGGTGGGAGCCAGAAAAAGGCAGGCAGGCTCTTAGAACCTCTCAGGAGGCCCACACTCCACCCACCCAAAGGCCAGGAGAGGGTGGAGCCTGGGCTCATTCCAGCCCACCACTCAGGCCACAAGGTCTCCCACTTGCAGAGGGCACCAAGGGCCAGTCTGGCCCATTGCTGGCCAGCTGAGCTGTTTTCTTGGGGGGCTGGGGAAGGTGGCCAAATGGAGCCACCCAGCACTCCTCTTGGGGGAGTGAGAGCAAAGGGGACCACATACAGAGCTGTCCCTGAAGACCCACCCTCCTCTGAGGGTAGACCCTCCCTCGGACATACCCCTAAGGAGCTCTGCCAGGCTCCAAGGAGGGAGGACCTCACCTCTTCACACTGTGTGACCCGGTGGGTGATGGCCTTCAGTTCCGCCATGGCCTTCTCATCCTGGAAGTCATAGGGGAAGACCTCTGTCCACTCCTTTAGCAGCTGCACGATCTTGGCTGAGAAGGACTTCAGCTTGGCCTGGGGCAGCGGAAGATAGAGGTGTGACCCTCCAGAGTGGGTGGCAAAATGACAAGTGGTTCAAGTCCTCGTCGTCATCCCCCCCTCCGCCCCCGTCTGCAACACCCTCCACTCATCCCCCCCGCAGGACCTGCACCATTCCCCCTAAGCTGGGGTGAGGGTCGCTGGGTAGGGACATGCCCCCACCCTGTCCACCTGCGGTTTTGTCATACCTGCTTTGTTTCATATTCCCCTTAAGGCGGCTCTCTTTTTCACTTAAATTCATTTTCAAAAAACCTATCCTATCGCTACCATGACATAGAAAACAAGTTTCATTTGCTGTAATTATAAGTTACCCACAAAAAAGAACACAATAAAAACCAAGCAAAATCATTAACGTTAAACGAGAATCTCGCCTGCCCCCTCTCGGTTAAAAGCAGCTTGGCAAGTGCTGGGAAGGGCGCGGAAGCGGAGGCGTCCTCCTCCAGACTTCGTCATGGAAGGCGGTCCGGGCGCCCCCGCCGTCGCCCCGGGTCCACACGCACATACAGCCCGAGGAGGGGGAGCTGGACGCTCAGTGCCCAGCCCCGCACTGTCCCGCCAAACGCCCACGCGGGCCTAAATCCCTCCTGTGCCCGCCGCGGCTCCTCCTCGGCCCTGACCAGCTCTCTGCCCACCCGTGCCTGCTGGACCTGGACTGTTCTGGTCCCGGGGGTGACCTTGACTGCCTTCAGGGTCCGGCTCCCGCACCACACAGCTCCCCATCCCTGCATCTTCCCGCCTGGCCACGCCCCCAGCCCAGACCCCGCCCCACGCCCCCGTGAGTCCCCTAGTGTTGGCTTCCCACGCCTTGTGGAGCCTCTCCCAGATGGCCCCCTCGCTCCCTGCAGCCAGTCCTCCTGGCCAGAGTCCAGTGCACGCGCCATTCCAGGCGGCCGCCCTGACACTTGCCCCAGATGCCACAGTACCCCCAAATGAGCAGGAGCCAGAGACCAGCACTCCCTCCTCAATGCCTGTTACCACAGAACACAGGATGGCGGCTCACCCCAAGCTCCTCTCAGGCTTCTACTGTCCCCACACTGACCCTCTGCCTAGAATTTCATCTCCCCACTCACTCTGCTCTGGCTTATTTCCTCCCGTCCCTTCAGGAGCCCTTCCTGACCCCGAGGCTGCAGACAGTGCCTGTCTTCATCCCTGCCCAGTGGCACCCTGGCCAGGCCCCTCTGGAGAGGAGACTCTGAGGCGGGCACGGGCGTTCACAAGCCTTTGCTGCAAACTTCCAGGGGCAGGAGGCCCAGCCTGGTGGAGGGAAGGTGGAGGGGAAGGTCATCAGCAAACCAGGACAGGCCCTGCTCAGCCTCAACCCAGACTAGGCCCTGCCAGCTCTTTGACAGCAGGCCTACCACCCCTGCCTCTGCACCAGACCCTGGGCTTCTAAAAGCCTCACCCCAAGCCCCTGCCCCCAGGGCCTCAGGGATGAGCTGTGGTTTCCTGACCATCCTGACTGCCCAAAGCCTGGCTCAATCAGAAGAGACAACAATGGCAAACAGCCCTATCTGAGTCACTGAAAACTCCTCTTATGAGCAGGTGCCAGCCTAAGGATGCTGCCACCTGATCTGGCTTAGAGGGGCAGTGATCCAGGCCCCACTGGCTTCTTTTCCACCAGCTGTAGCCAGACCCTCCATTCTGGGGGTCCTGGCACAGACCAGGAGAGCTGGCAGAGCTGTCTGCTGGAGGGTGGGGATGGTGCCAGTACCCACCAACAGCAGTTACTTCCAGCCTCCCAGGAGGGGTGCTCAGCTATGTGTGCAGCCCTCCAGACCCCGGGGGAGCCATGCCCCAGGTGTGCCACAAGGCCAGAGACAAGCCGACCTGCTTCCACCATGGAGGGCCCTGGGGCCAGCTCAGCCAGACCCTGTCCTGCCAGTTTTCTCTGAGTATGCTTCTCTCCCCAGCATGAGCCAGAGGGGTAGCCAGGGGCACAGAGATGGGCAGCTTCCCATCAGCAGCCCTTACCTTCTCAGAGCCAGCCTCCAGCTGCTGCCTCTGCTCCAGGCAGATCTGCCCCACACGGGCCAGCAGGTCATGAGGGGGAATGAAGACCCGGGAGCTCAAGAGAAACGTGAAGATGTACGTCCTCTGAAGGAAAGAGACAGGGAGAGAGGGCAAAGATTGGGTCAGGCCTGACGTGGCCCCCCAGGTATAGTCATAGCCTACTCCTCGACCTGGTCCAGCCACCTCCCAGGCCCAACATCAGCATCCAGTGGCCATGCCTTCTCCTGCATGGTTTACTGCCCCTTGAATGCCCTTCCTTCTTTCTCACTGCTTCCCAAATCCTGCCCACCGTGCAAGGCACAGAACAAACCCCACTTCGCAGCAGCTCTCAAGAGGCCTCCCCTGACAAGCTGGGCTCCCAGCAGTCTTTCTCTGCTAGGATTCTCCCCTGCCCTCAGTCCTACCACATGATGGGAGTTGAACCCAGTCTTGGACGTTGGCGGGACTCTGGGCCTGTGTGAGCCCGCTGCTCAACCCAACTGGGGCAGGGGTGCTCCCTGGGCCAGGCTCCAAGCCCACTTCTTCTGCAGATCCTCACTGGCCTCCCCAGGGCCAGTGGGATGGGGCTTCACCTGTGGGGCGGGCAGGACCTCCTTGGCCCCAGCACCCAGCATCAGGGGCTGTTGCAAGCCTTGGTGCAGTCGCTACCCAGCTGTGGGTCTTGTCCCCACCTGCCACACCAGGGCCCCTCTGTCCCACGTCCACATGCCCCTCGTCACCGGGCTGTACGGCACAGGCTCTGGGGGCTCCTCATGATCTGAATGAAAGGTGGCAGAGAGCAGGGCCCAGGGCCGAGGGTTCTCCGAAGCCTTTTGTCAGATATGGGTCAGTGCTGGTGGGATCTCCACACTGGGCCCTGCCTGCAGACAGGGTGGACTTGGGGGCTGGGGAGGCTGCTTGGGGCTCTCCTGGGGGCTCTGCCCCCACATGGCTGCTGCAGGCTGTGGGCTCAGGACCCTCCACCCTGACTCCAGGCCCAAAGGAGCAGGTCTTCCTTGCTCCAGCCTGAAGCAAGCTGGGCCGTGTTTGCTGGGAGCACAGGCCTCGTGGAGCAGAACTCAGGGCCTCACTACCCTCATGCAGCCCTCAGAGGCCATGGGGGGAGGCTCTCCCGGGAACAGCAGCAGTTCCTCTAACACCCCGAAACTTCCCAAGCCCTGTCCCCAGGCTGTGTCGCATGGGTGCTCAGGGGTCTCGGCTGGCCAGTGGTCCCCCTTCTAGCAGACGGCTGAGCCATGTGAAGAAAGGCACCCAGGTGTCACACTTCGGAGTTCTTAGCCAAAGACAAGAAGAAAACCCAGGGAGGAGCCATGAGTTTCCCAGGAGAAGCACGGACACTGACCCCTGTGCTTGTGTCCCCAGCTGCCCATGTAAGCAGGGGGGACCAGTGAGGGAGGGCAGGAAACCCAGGAGCTGGCGGAGGAGCCAACACCCAGCTGGACTCTCCGGGCCCCACCTGTCGGCCCCTGCTACCACTTTGTTCTCTCCTGGGAAGCAGGGTCCCAGGGCACAGTGTTTTGGGGATGATACTGGGTGACAGTTGGCTAGGAGGCCCCTCTGGGACACACCTAAAAGAGGGGAGGCTCCTCCCACAAGGCCACTGCCCCAAGACCAGCACTGGGGTGAGAGGGCCCTGCCCTGGGCTTCTTCAGGGCCTTGGGTCTCCTCTTCCTGGCTCTGCCAACTGGGCCCTCAGCTGCCATGTCTACACCACCAACACCAGCCCCAGACAGGTCCTGAGAGGGTTTACGGGATGGATAGAAGGACAGACAAAGGACAGACAGAGCCCCAGGAGGGAGGGAGGCGGCCTGACACGTTGGGTGGGCCAGGAACCCTAGGAAGCTGAGTTGACTCCAGCGCCATCAGATAAAAGCTGGAGGGTGGAGGAGGGCAATTCCTCATGGCTCTGCCCTCAGGAGGGAGGGGACACCAGGAGGGGGCTGGCGCAGCCCGACTTTCCAAAGGGAACAGCAGGCCCAACGCCACTGCTGCTAAGAGCCGTCACCTACGGGAGACATTAGGGAAGCCACACGTAACAAGGGAACTCTTTCTAAGTCTGTACCAATGCCATCCTGAGGTGACGAGGGAGGATCTGGATTGTGGTTGAAGGCCAGTCCTGCCTGTGGGCATGTGCCCTGGGGTCTGCATGCCGGCAGGGCTGTCTCCTCTTGGTCCTGGACTATGGCAGTTTCCCAGTACAGGGACAGGACACGTGCTGGGTGGACCCTCACCAGGACCCTCACTGGCCTTGCCCTTGAGACTCCTGTTCCTCCCCTAGGGTCCTGCCCAGAACTCAGGCCCCTGCTTCTGCCCTTCGTGTGTCTGTTTCCTTGTGCCACAAGGGACACCTCCCACCAGCCTGGGGCAGCAGGGAAGTCACTGCAGTTCCTCTCAGCTAGGCTGGGGGCAGGGAGCAGAGCAGGAGGCGAGGACGGGAGGTGGGGCTGGGGCTCCCCGCTGCTCTGCCCTCCCCCGCTGCTCCCTCTAGCTCCGTCTGGGCCTCCCTCCCCATCCCAGAAGCAGTTTCCCCTGGAGCACAGGTCACTCCCACCAGTCACACCCCTCTCCAGGCCCCAGGCACTCACATCGGGGTAATAGTCCACTGTGGGGACCAGGTGCTCCATCAAGGCCTCCAGCGACCCAGAGATGAGGCGTCCGTCTTGAAAGATGAGGTCCCCGGAGCCGCCGGCCCCGCCTCCACGCTCCCCCATGCCGGGCTGCACCTGTCCACTACAGCTGGGCCCGAGTATGCTGGAGAAGACGACGGACGTCTGGGGCATAGTTTCCTGGGACAGAACAAGGCCATGTGGCGTCAAAGGTGCCTCCATCAGGCCCTCCTCCCAGGCCGGCCTGCAGCCCATGTGCATGCACACAGGTGCATGGAGAGAGCCCCCCGAGGGCCAGGAGGGGCGTCATTAGACAGCAGCTCAGGTGGGCGGGCGGGCTCCTCGGTGGCCCCTCAGCTACTGGGTGTCTGATAAATGTTTCTTTAGCACCTGCTCCATGCATACCAGACCTCGTTCCAGGGGCCTGGACACACAGAGCCCTGCCTCCTGGGGTTATATCTCAGTGGGAGAAGAGAAACTACAGAGAAAAACAATGCCCAGGAGGAAGACATGGAGCCCGAGGGTGGTGGTCAAGGCAGCCTCAGGTAGGTGGCATTGGGACAGACTGACGTTGTTAGCCGTGCAGCTTCTTGGGATAAGAAAGGGACATTCTAGGCGTAAGGGACAGCAGATGCCAAGGTCCTGAGGCCAGTGTATGTGGAGGGGATGAGCAGACAGAGTGGTCTGAGGAGTAATGGGCTGGGCCATGCCCACCCAGGGCCACGGTGTGGCCTGCTGTGTCTCAACTGAGACAGGAGGTGTGGGGGCTCTGAGCACCTGACTCAGGGTGACGGTCACTGTGGCTGCCGTGGGGAGACCAGCAAGGGAGGGATGTGAAAACCAATTGGTGGGTTTTGCCATAACCCAAGGAGAGATTGCTCAGGTCAGGTGGTAGCAGAGGAGGCGGGGAGCAGGGTCAACTCTGAATTTTGTGAAGGATGGTCTCTGGCCTGAGCAACTAACCAGCATGGGGAAGAGCATGAGGGTGGGGTTTGAGGAAAGATCTGGAACTTGCTTTGGACATACTGAATTTGAAATGCCTACTAGCCACAGAGGTCAGACAGCAGTCTGGGCGGCCCGGTGCTCCCACAGCTGGGGTGCCCAAGGTGGCCTGGCCCGCTGTGATGGGGGGCTGAGGGTCTCTAACTCACACTGCAGCGGGCCCCTCCTGGAAGCTCTCAGGAGGCCTGGGAGAGTCTGCAGCCCTCCGGGCCTCCTATTGTCCAAGGCAGCCAGCCGCCCAGGAGGGGCTGCGTGGGGATCGGCGTGATGCTATCTGCCAGTGGACACCCCACTTGTTCGGCTAGTCCCACCCCTGAGGGCAGGCTGGCTGAGGTTGGGCTGGAGGGGCTGGGCCTCCCTGCCTTGCTGGGGCCACGGCCAGGCTGCGCCCTCTCAGGTCACCGGCCAGCAGGTGCCATGGCCCCAGCACCTGCCTCCCCTGGCAGCCATGCTGCCCTCCCTCTTGGGGCGGGGGCTGCCTCCTCATGCCTGGGGGCCTAGAAAGTGCACACACCCTCCCTCTGAGGACTCCCACGGCCCTCAGTGCTGACCTTGCATTGATACCCCCGCTCTCAGCCCAGTCTGCTCTCTGACCTGACTGGGGTGAGCCTCTGAGCCATTCTGGCCTCAGTTTCCCCACTCTGCAGAAGACCAAATGGTAGCCACGATGATTTCACTGCCACGAGAGGGCCCCGGGCCGCTGACCTCCAGCAGCTTCACAGCAGAGCTGACTCCCACCCACAGCACGTCAATGGAGCCTCACACCAGGGGGAAAGGGCACCCGGCCCAAACGACATTGGCTTCCCTGCCACACACCAGAAGGTTGCCGTAGAATCCTCGGGAAACCCTTTGCAAGAAGGACAGGAGCTCAAGGCAAGTCCCGGGACACCGCCGGGTTGGAATGTCGGCGGCCCCAGGCTCTGCTGCCCTCACTCCAGGACGGGGCTCAGACCCACAGAACACTGCCCTCTGCACTCTCTCAGGCCCCACCGTGTCAGAACCGCGTCAGAAACTTGGGCGGGCCCTCCGCCTGTGCTTTAACAAGCCCTGCGGGGGTTCTATTTTGTCATTTTTTAAATAACTGTTTTTTAGCGCAGAGGCTGTTTTGAAATCAGCACTTTTTATATACAAAAGCATGTTAAAGAGGCCCCAGGGCTGGGCCTGCAGACGGAAGCACAACCACCATTTAGCGGGTCACCTGTGAGTGTGGGCTTCAAGGCAGGGGCCCAGAACCCCCTTGGAGAATGGGCAGGGCCCACATGGACCATACAGGACCACCCCAGCCTCTCCCTGGCCACAGGACCCACCCAGGGATGCTGCCCGGGGCTGGGTCTCCCTGACCAGGTCTCCTGCCCACATGTCACTCCTCTCCACCCTCCTCTGTGCACTGAGGCCCCCCGGGGTCCTGGGGACCCCCCAAGCCCCTTCCTTGCCCCCCATTCAGTCCCTAGCAGAGCCCACCCCTGCCCAGCCACGAGCACTGTGGGGAGGGTCTCCAGGCTCAGGGCCAAGCGGGAGGCGGTAGGTTCCCCAAGTGGGTCGTCCTGAGCAGGAATTTAGAGCACCCTCTGTTCAAATCCCAGCTCTGCAACGGGTTAGCTCCTTGTTCCTGGACAAGTCTAAGCAGCCTCAATTTCCCCAGCTGTTAAATGGGATGATGACAGGACCACTCCTCTGAGCCCTCTGCCTGGCATCTCTGCTGCCACCCCACCCAGCCCTGTGGTCCCTCTGTCCTTGCATGCAGGGTCCTCTTCTTCCATCTCAGCAAAAGCAGGAACAGTGACTTCTGGCCACACACCTGTGTGTCCATTGCCCACAACTGGCCCCCTTCTCTGGCCAGTCAGAGCAGAAATCCGGGCTCCCATCTTGGGAGAAAACACACAGCAAGAGCAATCACAATAAGAAAACAGCAGCTAAGACCCTGAGCACCTGGTATGCACCATCAGCAACACTAATGCTAGAGCTGGATCATCTGCTTAATCCTCACAATAACCCATGAGAGAAACTGTTATTCTCTGCAGGCTGCAGATGAGGGCAAGCACAGAGAGGCTAAGTAAGCCCCGGGTCACACAGCTAGACTGCAGCAGTGCCAGGATGGCAGCAAAGGCAGGCAGGGAGGCCTGAGTCTGAGCCAGGCTCAGCCACTTGTGGCTTTATCAGGATCCTCAACCTCTCGGAGCCTGAATTTCCTCATCTGTAAAATGGGCACAGGGAGCGCCCCTTCAGAGATTTGCTGGAAGGATTAAATGAGCCCCCTGTGTACAGCACTGCTCACTAGACATGGTATCACCTCCCCCCGAGGACCCAACTCCCACAGACGTGCCTGCTCCATGCCCCCAAAGGCCACGTGGGTGCCCAGGACACAGAAGCACTGGATTATTCTAGACATACTGGCCCCAGAGAGCCAGACCCTGTGCAGATGCTCTAAAGCGCAGGGCCGCAGCCGCAGCATCAGCATCATGAGGAAATCTGTCAGCAGGTCCCCTTCTCCTGAGTCAGAACTCACCCGTTCTCAGGGCTTTTAGATCTTCTCCTAAAGCTTCGCTGCTGAGTGCGGCCCGGACCAGCAGCGCCATCACCTGGTCGGTCATTAAAATGCAGGCCCCTGAGGTCCAGCCCAGGCCTTCTGGGTCAGGCCCGTGTCCTCACCAAACATGCTCGTCCCGTTGCGAGTTTCGGCCTGCAGGTGAGGAGAGCCAGCTTCCCCTCGGTCAGTGCCGCTCGGCTGTGGCTGCACACCAGAATCACCTGGGGAGTCTTAAAAAACCACTTTGCCCACCTCCCACTCCAATGATTCTGATTTAACTGGCTCGGGGTACAGCCGGGGCATTGGCGTTTTTCAAAGTTTTCCAGGTGAAAATAGAAGGAAGCACAGGGAGCTCTCTTCTGCCTCTGCTGCTCCTGGCTGCGTCCAGACCTGTTTCGAGGCTTTGGCCACAGACACTCAGTGGAGAGCTCCGGAAGCCTCCTGAATCTAGCCCAGGGATGGGGAGGGTGGAGCTGGGGTGGGCCAGCTTTCCGCACCAGCTCCTGTAGGGCTCAAGGATGGGGCCTGTGGAGACCCGCAGCTCTGCCCCTAGTCAGCTGGGGTGGGGCTGGACAACGCAGCAGCCCTTCTGGGGAGAGTGAGGTCGGCCTTGCACCCAGGCTGCCTCCTCAACCTCCACGCAGCTCCTCCTCCGTTCAGGCAGGAAAACGAGCACCCTCTAATTATAGACGCAGTCGGTTCACAGCGAGGCAGGTGAAGGTGATTCACCTCTCCTAGAAGATGGGTCTGGGAGCTTCCCGAGGAGGGCCAGGTGGGCACAAGGGCAGGCCCCAGTGCCCAGGTGCATGAGGGAGGGGCCCTCCTGCCAGCTCAGAGAGGGCTAGCTGCCAGTTCAGGGGCAGCAGCTGTGGGCTAGCACTTGCCTGTTTCATACCCGGGTTTACTTGCTCTCTGGGAGCACCATCGAGGAAGGGGGTCCTCCCTGCATCTGGGCCCCAAATCCTCCTGGCCAAGCCTAAAAGGGTGCCGGGCGCCAGGTGAGGAGGCCACACCCACTGCCCCTGCAGTAGGCCGGCGGCAGGCAGGGAGGGCTAGCTACCTGCCTGGATGAGCTGCCACCAGCAGCGTCCTGCGGGCTGGCCATAGGGGAGGTGGGCAAAGCAAGGGGGCTTATGTGGCTGCACTGTTGTCCTGTCCATCTTTCTGCACTCTCCCAGGGCTCCCTGCACTGCTCTGTCTGACTGCAGGCTGTCCGGCCCTCCACACTCAGCCCGAGGTGCTCCATCTGGCAGACCTCCCACTGCTCCCCGGAGCGTGTTTGCAGTGGAGTCCTGCAGCTACCCCTGCTTGAGGGCTCACGCCTGCTCCCCCTTCCATGGTCCAGCGGGGGCAAGACGGCCTTGGGAAGCCCCAGCCTCCGGCAACTCCATTCTTTTAACGCTCCTTGTAGGCACCCCCATCCGTGACCATCCATCCACACCCGCCCGAGTCCTTTCCTGTAGTTTCAGGTCCAGGTCTAGGCCTTGCCTTGATGGCACCTAAGCGACCCAGCACCAGCTGCCACTGCTTCCGACCTATGGCCTCTGACCTAGGCCCTCACAGCCATCAGCAAGTCACATGCCTCCTGCCCAGGCTGCTGTTCTTGCTGACGCATGAGACCCTCTGGATCCACCCCAGCCCATGTGCACAG